TGGTTAGTCTCTAAGGTGCCACAATGTCTAGATGGTGGCAATAAGTGTGTGTGACTTTTGTGGGGCTTGCTCCAGCTGCCTGCATGGATGCTATGACCACCCCTTTGTAACCTGAGACCCAGGAGGGGGATGCGACCACGACTCTTGGCCCAGGAAGCAAGACAAAGGCCAGAGGAGGAGCAACAGGCAGGGCAGGGGCCAGGAAGCTGGAAGTGAGTCAGTCTTGGCTGGCTTGGGGCGCAGGGAGAGGACCAGAACCCTGGCTCTGGGCTCCCCTCCCCCCAAGATGGACTTGGCTGAAAGTCACTGTTTTCTCTGCTAACGAGTTCTGTTCTACACTATGTTCCTGTCGCCTAATAAACCTTCTGTTTTACCGGCTGGCTGAGAGTCACTGCTGACTGTGGAGTTGGGGTGCAGGGCCCTCTGGCTTCCACTCGGGCGGACTCACTGCGGGAAGCACACGGTGTGGAAGGGGATGCTGAATGCTCTGAGGTCAGACCCAGGAAGGTCAAAGCTGTGTAAGCTTCTTTCCCTTGGAGAGAGTATGCTCAGAGAAAACAATGAGGAGTCCTTGCGGCACCTTAGAGACTAACAAATTTATTTGGGCATAAGCTTTCATGGGCTAAACCCCACATCATCAGATGCAAGGAGTGAAAAATACAGTAAGCAGTATAAATAAAAATATATATAAAAATAAAAATAAATAAAAACTGCTGAATTGGAATTCATTTGCAAATTGGATACTATTAATTTAGGCTTAAATAGAGACTGGGAGTGGCTAAGTCATTATGCAAGGTAGCCTGTTTCCTCTTGTTTTTTCCTACCCCCCCAGATATTCTGGTTTAACTTGGATTTAAACTTGGAGAGTGGTCAGTTTAGATGAGCTATTACCAGCAGGAGAGTGAGTTTGTGTGTGTATGGGGGTGGGGGGGGAAGTGAGAAAACCTGGATCCATGCAGGAAATAGCCCGACTTGATTATGTAAAGAGTTGTCACTTTGGATGGGCTAGCACCAGCAGGAGAGTGAATTTGTGTGGGGGGGTGGAGGGTGAGAAAACCTGGATTTGTGCTGGAAATGGCCCACCTGTTGATCACTTTAGATAAGCTATTACCAGCAGGACAGTGGGGTGGGAGGAGGTATTGTTTCATATTCTCTGTGTGTATATAAAGTCTGCTGCAGTTTCCACGGTACACATCTGATGAAGTGAGCTGTGGCTCACGAAAGCTCATGCTCAAATAAATTGGTTAGTCTCTAAGGTGCCACAAGTACTCCTTTTCTTTTTGCGAATACAGACTAACACGGCTGTTCCTCTGAAACCTGTCAGTATAAATATTACAGCACATGAAAAGATGAGAGTTGCCTTACCAAGTGCGGGTTGGGGGGGGAGTCAGTGCTAACGAGGCCAATTCAATTAAGGTGGAAATGGCCTATTCTCAACAGTTGACAAGAAGGGGTGAATATCAAGGGAAGAAAATTACTTTTGTAGTGCTAATGAGGCCAATGCAATCAAGGTGGACATCGCCTATTTCCAACAGTTGACAAGAAGGTGTGAGTATAAGCAGAGGGAAAATTACTTTTTGTAGTGACCCATCCACTTCCAGTCTTTATTCAGGCCTAATTTGATGGTGTCCAGTTTGCAAATTAATTCCAGTTCTGCAGTTTCTCATTGGACTCTGTTTTTGAAGTTTTTTTGTTGAAGAATTGCCACTTTTAAGTCTTCTCCTACTGGTTTTTGAATGTCACAATTCTTGATGTCTGATTTGTGTCCATTTATTTTTTTGTGTAGAGACTGTCCGGTTTGTCCAATGTACATGGCAGAGGGGCATTGCTGGCACATGATGGCATTTATCACATTGGTAGATCATAGAATCATAGAATATCAGGGTTGGAAGGGACCCCAGAAGGTCATCTAGTCCAACCCCCTGCTCGAAGCAGGACCAATTCCCAGTTAAATCATCCCAGCCAGGGCTTTGGCAAGCCTGACCTTAAAAACCTCTAAGGAAGGAGATTCTACCACCTCCCTAGGTAACGCATTCCAGTGTTACCTAGGGAGTGCAGGTGAATGAGCCCCTGTGGCTGACATGGTTAGGTCCTATGATGGTGTCCCTTGAATAGATATGCAGACAGAGTTGGCAATGGGGTTTGTTGCAGGGATTGGTTCCTGGGTTAGTGTTTTTGTTGTATGGTGTGTAGTTGCTGGTGAGTATTTGCTTCAGGTGGGGGGCTGTCTGTAAGTGAGGACTGGCCTGTCTCCCAAGGTATGTGAGAGTGAGGGATTGCTAATAAGCGATGGTCACATAAACACCACCCCAAACCGGAAACCTACTGACTGCTATACTTACCTACATGCCTCCAGCTTTCATCCAGACCACATCACACGATCCATTGTCTACAGCCAAGCTCTTAAGATACAACCGCATTTGCTCCATTCGCTCAGACAGAGACAAACACCTACAAGATCTCTATCAAGGGTTCTTAAAACTACAATACCCACCTGGTGAAGTGAAGAAACAGATTGACAGAGCCAGAAGGGTATCCAGAAGTCACCTACTACAGGACAGGCCCAACAAAGAAAGTAACAGAACGCCACTAGCCATCACCTACAACCCCCAACTAAAACCTCTCCAGTGCATCATCAAGGATCTACATCATAGAATATCAGGGTTCAAAGGGACCTTAGGAGGTCATCTAGTCCAACCCCCTGCTCAAAGCAAGACCAATCCCCAATTTTTTCCCCAGATCCCTAAATGGCCCCAATTTTTGCCCCAGATGCCTAAATGGCCCCCTCAAGGATTGAACTCGGAACCCTAAAAAACAACACAACAAAACACACTCTATTCCCCTATCACACAACGCAATATACTCCCAATTAACTCAAACACACCAACGCAAAATATCTCCTAACACACCACCCCGACACACAATTCTGCCCAATGTATGCACATCCCTAAAACGCACCCACATGCCAAGCCAGTATTGGACACAGACAGTTCTGTGCACCCAGCAGACTCCTCCACAATAATCCACTGCACCTCGTGCACTCACAAACATGCACGCTTACCCTGCACGCACACCAGTGCAGCCACTCAGAGACCAGCATGTGCACACACACACACCCTCTCTCTCTCTGCAAGAGCCTGGAGCTGCCCTAGAAACACCCCCTTAGGGAGAGAGTTCTTCTCTTGACCCACTAATGGGGGGCTGTTACACAACCACACACTGAGGGGAGGTGTCACACCCCCTCAGCTCACAGGGGTGGGGAAGCTCAGCTACCCCACAGGGAGAAGCCAAGATGCACACTCACCTTTGCCCTACAAGAACATTTGCCCCTTTCACACTCACCCTGCATGCACACTCATCCCAAATACACACTTGCTCTTTCTCTGCACACACTCACTCATCCTGCATGCTCCACACACCCCATTTGTGCACTCACTTTTCCTGCAAACTTGCACACAATCATTCTCAACCCACACACACTCCCACTAGTCCTGAGCGTGCTTGTCCAAGGGGGACATACCCTCCACACTTGCACTCATTCTGCATGCACACTTGCTCCACACACAGTCCCATTCACCACGTGCACACTTACTCTCTTCCACTGAGATCCTGCAGTCACACTCCCTCATGTACACTCCCACTCACCCTGCATGCACACTTGCCCAAGGCACACTAACCCATGTACACTCACACCCACCCTAATCACATTCACCCTGCACACACACTCAAGCTCCTCCTGTATACACAGTTGCTCTCTGCACACGCACACTCACCCTGCATGCACAAGTCCCCTGCACGCTGATCCTCATCCTGCACTCACAAGTACTTGCTGCCACATTTGCTCTACTCTGGTGTCTCCATTAAAGGCAGCTGCACTCTACACTCAGAACAGCAGACAGTTGTGGGGATGGCTTGGCGCAGTACCAGGGGCCAGGGTTTGGTGCAGGGTGGGCCAAGGGAACAATACTGGAGTACTTGGGAGCAGGGCTGGAGATCTGGAGAGTGGGGGTCAGGTGTTCTGTGGTCAGTGGGCAAGAGGCACTGGGGGGCAGACCAGGGCCATAGATCTGGAGAGTGGGGGTCAGGTGTTCTGTGGGGGTCAGTGGGCAAGAGGCACTGGGGGGCAGACCAGAGCCATAGATCTGGAGAGTGGGGTCAGGTGTTCTGTGGGGGCATAGATCTAGAATGGGGCCAGGTGCCACAGATCTCAATGGGGGCAGGGGACTCGGCGGGGGACGGGATACAGGGGCCATAGAGATGGATGGTGGCTTTGGGGAGCGGGGGACTCTGGGGGGAAGGGGCCATAGAGCCGGATGGGGCGGGGGGCACTGGGGCTTTTGAGCTGGATGGGGTCTCGGGAGGTGGGGTGTTCTGGGGGGCAGGGGCCATAGAGGAGAATGGTGGCTTTGGGGAGCGGAGGGCTCGGAGGGACAGGGCCATAGAGGAGGATGGTGGCTTTTGGGGGGTAGAGGCCATAGAGCTGGATGGCGGGTTTGGGGGACCCGGTTCCTGGTGCGCGGCGGCACCTGGCTCCGAACCCCACGTGCCCCCAACCCCGGTATGTGTGTTCGGGGTGGGGAAGCGACGTTTAAAGGGGACGCGGCCGCTCCCTTTTCTGTCGGCCGCACGCGGCGCCCACCCCCACTGCAGCTGCCGCGCGGCCGCCTTTAAGAGTGGGCAGCGCGCGGGGCCCGTGTGCGAGGTTGGAGCGGCCGCAGCTTCAGCACCAGCATCCGCGGCAGCAGCATCCTTCGGTGGCAGCGGCGGCGGCGGCGAGCGGGGGAGGGGGAGCTCGGCTGCGGGGGCCCGGCGGGGCCCAGCCAGGCAGCGTGGGTGGGAGGCGGCCCCCCCGCAGGCCTGGCCGCTCCTGCTGCACTCATCACCGCCCCGACTGCTGCTGCTGCCGTCCCCCGGTTCCCCCTTGCACCCCACTCTCCTGACCCCCTGTTCCCCCAACCCCCTTGTACCCACTCTCCCTAGTCCCCCGGCACCCCCAACCCCCTGTTCCCCGACCCCTTGCACCCTGCTCTCCCTAGTCCCCTGGCATCCCCAACCCCCTGTCTCCCGGATCCCCCAGCACCCCTACTCTCCTGGTTCCTCTTAAGTCCTCTTCCCTGGATCCCCCCGAGGTCCTTGCCCCCCCGGTTTCCCCTTCTCCTTCCCACTCTGGGGATTCCCCCACCCCACTTCCTCCTGGGTCGGCTTCTCTCCCCCCACCCTCACCTCCTCCATGACAAGCGCCCAGGACTAGCGAGCGGCTGAAGGAACCATGTCCTATGTCCCCTTTCGAGGTAAAGGATGGGGTGGGTTCAGCTGGGGTTGAGGGGGGCACAGCTAGGGCCTATGGGTTCTGGAGTCTGAGGGGGGCTGGAGGAACAGGCAAGCTCACCTAGGACAGATTGGAGTGTACTGAAAGGTTCTCCCAGGGTCTGGGCTTGGGAATGGGGCAGGGGAGGGCTGTGGGGTCAGAGAGGAGAATGGGTTCTGCTGGAGATGTGGGGTGTCTATGGGGCTGGGAGAAGAATCTGGTTCACCTGGGGCAGGCAGAGTTAGCCAGGGAGCGTGGCACCACATCTGGGACACAGAGCACTGAAACTTGGGCAGGAATGGGAGGGGTCACCTGGGGTGGGCTGGAGGGTCAGAGTTCTGCTGGAGATGTGGGGCATCTATCTGGCTGGGAGGAGAATCTGGTTTACCTGGGGCAGGTGGGGGGCACTGGGAGGTGACTGAGGCATGTGGTGGCAGAGGGGGATGACTGTGTGTGGAGTCCTGGGGACCACTGGGTCCTGTGGGGTTTAAGCAATGGGGTTTGCCTGGGGGAGGTAGTGGAGGCATAAAAGGGACTCAGCTGAGGCCTGTGGATCTGGGGCTCAGGACTAAGGGTGGCTCTTGGGACGGGGGGGGTCATCCAGGGCCTGCAGCCTCAGGACTAAGGGTGGCTCCTAGGAGGGGGCATTACCCAGGGCCTGTGGGCTCAGGACTGGGGGTGGTTCCTGGGGTGGGGGGCAGTAGAGAGTAGTGGATGCACTGTCCAGGCTTGTGGGGGAGGTAGGGATAGCTAGGGGTCTGGGGGGGCAGTAGAGGGTAGTGGGTGCACTGTGGGGGGGTCACCTAGGGCCTGTGGGCTCAGAACTGGGTGGGGGGAACCTTTGAATACAGTGTGAGGGATGAGGGGGTCACATGGGGCCTGGGGAAACAGTGAGGGATGCCAGCTGATCTTAGGGTGGCAGGGGGTATGCTTGAGGTGCCATCCAAGAGAGTGAATGGTTCTCCTGAAGGGGCTGCCCCATGGCTGGTGGGGAGGCAGGACAACATGCTGGTGGTGCCCTGTGGGGCAGTGGGGAGTCGGAGGTGAGATGGGAGGCACTGGACGGTACCCTGGGGCCTGCGATGTCCGGGGTTCAGTTGTCTAGGGCAGGAGGTGGCGGGATTGGGGTGTGCTCTGGGCTCAGTGAAGTCCGGGGGATGACAGGGGATGGCTGTGTTGGTGGCAGGAGGTGGGGGAGACTGAATGGTACCCTGGGATCTGTGGGGTCTGGGGCTCATAGAGTCTGTGGGGAAGGGCAAAAGGAAGTCGCCTCTGGGGTTGGGTGCAGGGGGCTCTGTGGGGTTGGGGGAGGGTGGGCAGTGGGGGGAACAGGAGGGTATTCTCTGGGGAGACAATGTTGAAGAGTTCACAGTGCAATAATTGGGGGCTTGGAGAGTTCATCTGGGCTGCAGGGTTTGAGGGTCAGGCTCGGTTGGGGAGGGGGATGTGTGTGTGGGGGGGGTTTCCCAGCAGCCAGTGCGGCTGCAGGGTGGTTGGGTGGGTGGGCATACCCCAGGGGTCAGTGGGGTTGGGGAGAGGGATGTATGGGGAGGCTGTTCAGGGCCTGTGGGGTCTGAAAAAGCAGAGAGAGGGAATGTCTGTGGTTGGAAGTGGAGTGGGGGGTAGCCCAGGGCACGTGTTGAGAGGACGGGGGGACTCTGAGGGAGGAGTTGGGGGAGTTACCTGGTGAACCTTGGGGTTGATGGATGGCTGGGGACAGGGGATACATCTGGGAGCAGCTGGGGGTGGGGGGAAACAGAGGAGGTGCTGGGGGTATCTGGAGAGCTTGTCTGTTGTCCTCTGTGTCAGGGGGTAGTAGAGGGAGCAGGGGGGTCACTGCCTGAGGCCTGTGGGATGGTGGTGGTGGTGGGGACCATTGCCGGGCTGTGGGGGTAACTAGGGGTTTGGGGGGGCAGTGGAGGGTAGTGGGTGCACTGCCCAGGCCTGTGGGGGCAGTGGAGGTAGCTAGGGGACCTGGGGGCAGTAGGGGTAACTAGGAGTTTGGGGGGGCAGTGGAGGGTAGTGGGTGCACTGCCCAGGCCTGTGGGGGGCAGGAGGGAGAGGAGACCTGTGATGGCTGGGAATACCACATGCTGCCTGTAGCCAGGGTTGGGGAGCGCTACCTGTGTTGGTTGTGGGGTTCTTAGGGCTGGATCCAGATTGGTTGCTGGGATCCTAGCATCAGGGAGGGCCCTGGGGGTCGCTCTCTGCAGCTCACCTCCTCCCCCCACACTCATTCTCAGCCCACGGCCTGCTGGAGTGTGCCCCTGCTCGTGGTCCGGGCCCACTCTGAGGTGGGGGGTGTTGGCCCCATTTAGGGGGCCCTGGCCCTTGATGTGAGGCTGGTGCAAATCACCAGGAGACCCGCATGACCCACTTTCCCAGCTGGCCCAGAAAGGACTGGGCGGATGGGGTTTTCATGCCACTCGCGCTGTCACATGTATGGTCCAGATGTTCCCCGCCAGAACCTCTCTGCACCCTGACACCTGGCTCCTAGAATTCCTGCTGCCCGGACACCTGGGTCTGAACACCCCCCTCCTGTCCCCATGTCCTTGGGCTCTGGGCCCGAGGGAGTGTCCCACGGCCCGGCACTTTTCCCTGTTGTGCCCAAGGTACATGTAATCCTCACTGAGGTGGTGCCCCGGTGTCACCCCCCACACCGCCTGGCACTTGGGGGCCAGAGACCTCAGGCAGGGCTAGGATTAACCCCCCATGGCTAGCATGAGTGGTGCTGCAGGAATACAGTAGGGGACAATCACCCCTCTGTCAGTGCTGGCCCCAGTGCAGTGCCAGGGGCGGTGTGCTGCAGGGTCAGGTTGGGGGGCACTGGGCTGGGGGAGAGGTGGGGAGGACACTGGGTGGGGGTGCTGTGCTGAGGGATGGGAACACCCTGCTGAAGGGTGGGCGGTGGAGACTCCCATCCCAACTGCCCCATAATTTATTATGCTAATTTATTGTAACTCCAAAATAGAAATATTAATGAGGGAATAAACATAGCACCCTGTTCAGTGATTAACAGGGCCTTTAAACACAGAACGAGCTCCCTCCTCAGTGGTGCCAGCCCCACCATACCTGCTCCCCACAGTGCCCCCTGCTGGGAGAGGCTGGGGCTGGAGTAGCTGGGAGCTGCACCCCCAGCTACAGCCCTGCCCAGCTCCCCATAGCACCCCCTGCTGGGAGAGGCCGGGGCTAGTGTAGCTGGGTGCTGCCCCACAGCCAGCGCCCTGCCCAGGTCCCTACAGCGCCCCCTGCTGGGAGACGGCGGGACTGGAATAGCCAAGCGTTTCCCGCCCACCCCCAGCCAGTGCCATGTCCTGCTCCCCACAGCGCCCCCTGCTGGGAGAGGCTGGGGCCGGAATAGCCAGGAGCTCCCCGCCCCAGCCAGCGGCCCTGCCCTACTCCCCACAGCGCCCCCTGCTGGGAGCAGTCGGGGCTGGAGTAGCCAGGAGCTTCCCCCCTGCTTTGGGGGATGCTGGGATGAAATACCCCCCACGGTCTCTTTCCTGCACTCAATGTGAGGAGGTGGTGGGATGCGGTTGCTAGGTAACCCCATTGGAGGATGCTCCCTCCTCCCCCCCCATCCGGGGCGGGGGGGGACTGGCATGAATCGAATCCCCAGAGCGTGGCAGTGTCGTGAGCTGCAGGTGTGCTGGGGGGGCACTTGGGGCCCCTCCCCGTTTAGGGGTAGGGCATCCTCTCCCCAGTTAAGTCTGGGGAGGGGCCTGTAGCTGGTGGTGGCAGATGGGGCAGGGGAAGGGCCCGTATCTGTATCTTTTGGGGGGAGGGGTGTCTCTTCTATCTCTCTCTCTCTGCCAGGCTCCCCTCTCCCACATGCTCCCTGGGCTGTCACTTCCCAGCACGGATCTCCAGGCACACTCAGATCTGATGGGACAGTCAGCCCCCCCTGTTGCGCCCACACTGTGATGCCAGGGCTGGGAGGGGGAGGGGGCTGTGCTGGGGATTTTGAGGGGATGGCACAGGAGGTGTGGGTCTGGGGGCCCCAGTGCTGAGTGACCCCCCACCCCCACAAGTGTGGAGGAGTGCCCAGGAGCTAACAAGGACACCAGCTTTTAGGAGTGGCTAGGTCCTTGGGATACTTGGCTATTCTATGCAAATGATGTGCTGAACTGATTTGCATTTTTGCAGGCAGGTCAGTTGAAGCAAGGAAGCATTGTGCATTTGCATATTTGCATATAATTTGCATGTTGCTAATATCCAGCTTTGTGTGGAATGGTATGGGTTCAGCACTGGAGAAAGCATCTCTGACTCTCTCTGCAATCTGACAGCCCCACACAGCACGACTGTCTTCCAGCTGGCTGGGGGCAGGGGTCATGGGGCAGTTCTAGCTGTGCCCCAGGCAGTCCTGGGTGCTCCACGGAGCCTGCCATGAAGGCAAAGCAGGGCTGAGCCTGCCATGGCAGCCAGAGCCAAGCCCCAAGGAGTGGGGCCCTGCTGCCCAGGGGTGGCTTCAAGCTGGTGACTAAGAGGAGAATGGCTTGATCTGGCCCTGCCCCATGGCTGGGCATCTAATCCCCTCCCCCCTAGGGCCTGGGAAGAGCAGGCGCTCAGGAAATTGGGGCCTGGCCTCTGACCTAGGGCTGGGTTCCTCTGCCCTCTGGACACCCCCGGCCCCACTCCCAGCCTTTAGCCTAATGCAAAACATGCTCTGCCAGTGCGTGCCCCACAGTGCACCTTAATCAAAACATGAGCAATCCCGGACACACTAAGGCAGGAATTGGTGTGTGAGCACACCTGGGTGCTCTTACACTACAGGGTCAGTGCAAGGATAGTAGTTATTGCAACCTCCTCATGCTGACTTGGGCAGGATCTTGATTGTCTCCCACCCAGCATCCCTCCTCATGCACCCATTTGTTCCCAACCCTCCCTGGACCTGGCCCTCTGTCCCTGCACACACTTCTTTCCCTCCATCCTTCCCCAAGCATGCTTCTCTGCCTCCACATCTCTATCCATCTGTCCATCCCCACACCTACCCTTCCATCCATCCATCCCCACATGCTCCTTCCTCCAGCCCTCTATCGGCCTTGGTAAAAGGAGTGTTCAAAGTCCAGTGCTGGGAGTGGGGGGACTTCCAGGATTCAGGTATCCCATGCAGCCTTCCTTCAGTCCCCCTGTGCAAATGTGTTATGAGTTTGACGTGGTCTGGAATGATGTCTTTGCACTCTATTCTCCCCTCTCATCCCACCCTGCATGAGCCACCAAGAGGATCTGACCCCACAACCTTCTAGCTCCGCAGCACAGACCTCTCCCAGGTTGCTAAACAATTAATTGGCAGCAGTAGTAGGTTATTAGCCTCTATGTGACCAGCTGCAGAGGAGGATGTAGCAGATGCTTTGCCCAAAGTTTGCACAGCGATTAACAAGATAGCAGCAGAAAGTTGGGAGCCAGGACTCCTGGGTCCTCCTCCCCAGCTGTGTGTGTGGCAGGGAGGGAGTGGGTTCTGGTGGTTAGAGCAGGGGGAGCTGGGAGCCAGGACCCCTGGGTTCTAGCAAGGGATAGAGTGGTGAGTGGGGAGGAGTCAGGACTCCTGGTGTCCTTCCCATAGGCTATGTGCTGTTCTCAGGGGGAGTCCCCCTGCACTGTGCAATGCTGGGGCAGGTACAAGGTTGAGTTCCTTAGCAAGTGCAGGGACTCCTGTGTGTGTATTTGGAGATGGAAGGGGCTGCAGAGAGGTGAGCTCAGTAGCCTGCTATGTCCCACTATGTCCACTGGATGGCAGCACTGTGCTGCAAAAGCCCATTGCACCTCTCCCTGCAAACCCCATCCTGTGAGTGATCTTGGGCAGGCTATGACTCCAGACCCCGCCCACCCAGTCTGTGCTGGGGAGGGGGCAGCCCCCTGTTGGGGGCAGGAGGATGATATGCTTCCTGTGGTGCTGGATTCCCCCAGCTCTGTTTGCTTCCCCTGAGGCTCGAGGTGACTTGTTCCCATGGGATGGTTCCTCTGCTTCTCACTGGTGTGAGGCCCCCCACTCCGCCCCTCTGCTTTGGGTTATGGGACTTCCCGCGCAGCTGCTTGCTACCATAACACACTTGGCACCCCAGAGCCCCAGCCAGGACCAGCACCCTCTTGTGCCTGGTGCCGTATGGACACGCCACGCAGACGGTCCATGGCCTGGCCTGTGCTTCTAGCTTTGCTGGCCTGGCTCTGTGCATTGGGGAGGAGAATTTTTGGCTGACAAAAGCCCTGGTATAGGCTTGGTTCTCCCAGGGTAAGGTACTTTACACCAGTGCAGCGCATTTCGCTCGCCGGGCCAGAGGCAGCAGCACTGGCGGAGGTAAAGTGGGAAACTGTCTAAGTGTAGACCTGGCCTAAGCCAAGACGTAGCCTGCAGCATATCCAGCTCTGGGGATTTCCCCTTGCAATATTAAAGCCTCAGAGCCTGCAGTCATGGGGTTATGGGAGAGAATTGGCTTGCATTGAATATAAATAAAACCATTTTCTAAGCTGTCAGCTCCGAGCTATCACCCCACAGGTTCAGAAATAGGGTGTAATTACACCAAACCCCCAGATGTATAAAGATAGGTATATTAAGTCAATGGGGTGACTTGAGGAGCCCTGGCATGTGGGTTCTGAACCCCTGGCATTGGCAATATTAAGACCCAGTCTCCACGTGAGCTCCCAGAATGAGCCCGTGGCATGATCCTTGCCTGTCTAAACAAGGAAGTGGGGAGGTGACCTTACCTCTGCGGACAGCACTGAAGAGATGTCTAGTGCCTGCATGCTTTAAAAGGATGTGGAAGAATGGGAGAGGCCACAGAACCGATCTGTAAAGCTGGAGACCATGCCTGATGGCGAGCAGCTAACCAGGCGTTATCTCTTCAGCTGATCGAAGGAAGACTGAGAGGTGACTTGATTGCTAGGTGTAAGGGCCGTCACATAGCGAAAATACCTGGACTCTTTAACTTAATGGAGAAAGGGAGAAGAAGAACCATTGGCTGGAAGCTGAAGCCAGATAAATTCCAGTTGGAACTAAGGCTCAGGTTGTTTAAGAGGGCGGGATTAACCCAAGGGAGGGGATGGGCTCTCCGTCTCCTGAGGGTGTCCAGTTCTCTCTGGGAGATGCTGTAGCCAGACTCAGATTCTTGGGGTCAGTACAGGGATGCCGGGGCGCCATTCTCTGGCTGTGCTTGACAGGAGGTCAAACTACGTGACTGGCTGGTCCTTTCTGGACTCACTGCCTTTGAATCAGTCTGTGGCCAGTGATCCAGCCCTTGGCAAGAGTTGAGTGGGAGGGTTAGTCTGGGGTGAACTTTCTGTGCCAGGGGTGGAGGGGGAAGCCTATTCCGGCTTGGGGATGATCTATGGTTTCTCCTTCCTGGAGAAGGGTGTATCAGAGTTCTAGGTCAGGGGTTCTCAAACTGGGGGTTGGGACTCCTCAGTGGGTCATGAGGTTATTATATGGGGGGGGGGGTCACAAGCTGTCAGCCTCCACCCCAAACCCTGCTTTACCTCCACTTTTATAATGGTGTTCAATATGTAAAAAAAGTGTTTTTAATTTATAAGGGGGGTTGCACGCAGAGGCTTGCTATGTGAAAGGGGTCACCAGTACAAAAGTTTGAGAACCACCTTTCTAGGTGCTGTTCTGGGGTCTTCAGCATCTTCCTGTGTGGATTGTTGGTTCCATGGGCAGAGTTATTGAAATGGGAGGGGGGGGTGTCAAAACCCTGCTGCTTCAGAGCATAAACTGACCCCGACTGGGGACTGGGAGAGAACATCTCCTATAGTGAGGTTATCCTAGGACAGTCCTCCCTGGGGCTATGGCACCAGTTGCAATGGGGCTGGGGGCGGCTAGGCTGGGGCTAATTGGAGAGATGGGGACACCGGGCTGCGAGTGAAGAGGTGGAGAAGACAGGGTTAGACAGAGCTCTGAGGTCTGGTCCCGCTGGGCTGGAAGTGGGGTATGGGTGGGGAGAGGAGCGGAGCCCATTTCTGAGCCCAGCCATGAGTGTGGCTGTGACCTGGTCATTCCTTACTTTGGCCCAGTGGGTCAGTTCTGTCCCTGTTGCCCCACAGTGGTTGTGGGGAACATGGTAATGAGAGAGATGTTGTGGGGGGGGAGGAATGGATGGAGGAATGTGCTTCGGGGTGGATGGAAACGTGCCCATGGGTGAGGAGGGCAGGAGTGGTGTGGGACAGGTGTGCTTGGGATGAGATGGATGGAGGGGTGCATGCAATGAGGGAGGGACGTGTGTGGGGATGGAAGGAGGGTTCTGTCTGCCCATGAAGACACCCCTCCCCATTGCATCATCTCTAACCTTCTTTCCCTGCCCCGCCCAGATGTGCGAGGAGCCCCCATGCACCGCATGCCCTATATGCACTCTCCCTACGAACGCCCAGCGTGGAATCCACGATTCTGCATCATCTCTGGAAACCAGCTGCTTATGCTAGACGAGGACGAGGTGAGACACACAGAGATGGGACAGGATGTAAAGTCGAGGGGGAGCATGGAGCTTGCGGGAACCCCAGAGAGACCCTCCACCCAGAGCAGAGATCCCCTCCCCCTTGCCCTCCCCTCCTGAAGCACCCCCTCCCCTCTCTCTCAAGCACAGAGCAACCCCCCCCTTTCCCCTCACCCAGAGCTCTCACTTCCCTCCTGGTCCCAGACCTGCCCCAGCTGAGAGGTCTCCCTAGAATATGATGCAATGTCCCCTGCCCCTGAGCTTGGGGCAGGGCTTTTTCTGAGCCCATCTTGTGGGGAGGCTGCAGTCCTAGTGTGGGATGCTAGGCAGCCTGCTCCCTCTTGGTCCCCTGGGATAATGCTGTTCCCCCCCCCCCCCCACAGGATAAAGCCACACCTGGGACAGCCTCAGGGGTTGAGGATTGTCACTCTGTGTACTCCTGCCCTGACATTGGCAGCGGGAGGGCAATGGGGGAGGCAGGGACCTGGGAGACGGGGTGTTGGGAGTTAGAGGGGATGCCCCCATGCAACAGTAACCCCCGTCTCTCTCCTCCCCCATCTCCAGATCCACCCGTTGCTGATGAGGGAACGGCGAAGCGAACCCTGCCGGACCAAGCTGCTGCGCCGCACAGTCAGCGTCCCTGTGGAGGGGCGGCCCGAGCACGGTACGGAAGGGGGGCAGGGACTGGACGGTTGGGGCATTGCACTGTGGGGGGCACCAGGTGGAGAAGTGGGGGTTGTGGCACTGCATGAGGTGAAGAAGTGGGGGTTGCAGTATGGGGTGGGTAGGGACTGGGACGGGCTGCAGTAGGGCATGGCCAGCCAGCACCCTACAGTGATGAACCCACTTGATCCTGCAGGGACATGTGCCCCATGGCACCCAATTACAAGTAGATCCCACAGATGTTCATGACCTGCAGTGACTACTCCCCACACCCCTGGCACCCATTCCCCATGTGAATACAGAAATAAATCCCCGATACCAAACAATCCCCCGATCCTCCGTCCGTTCACGCCTCCGGGCAGAGTTCCTCTGGGTGGCGTCCACTGACTCCCTTGACGCCTTTGAGGAGCAGTGGGCGCTGTCCGGGGTTCTCTGCTCAGTGTCCCCACCCGGTTCCCTTCGTTTGACCCTTTGACCGCACTCCTGTCCCTGTTGTTCATTAGTTGTCCCCCGTAATTATTTAGTTTTCCAGGTCCTGTGGACCCCCCTCTTAGCAGTGGGTGGGGTTCGCCTGCCCACTCCCTGGGTCCCAATAAGACCAAACAATCCCCCAGACATATGTTCCACATATGCTTGCCTCGTGATCCAACTAGATCTCACCGCCAACCTGCTCTGTGGTGCCTGATTCCCAGTAGATCCCACAGAGACATGCACCCCAGGGTGTCTGCTCCCAATAGATTCTACAGCAAACATCACCTGGATCCCACAGAAATATTCACCTTGCAATGCCCAGTTCCCACGTGAACCCCCCCCCTCAGTGCTTGATCCCCTGAGATCTTACAGGCACATGTGCCTCGCAGTCCCCCATTCCCACAAGATCCCACAGACATACTTCCCTAATGAGCCCCATTAGATCCCACAGCCAACATGCTCTGTGGCGTGTGATTCCCAAAGACACTCTCCCCTCTGGGCCTGGTGCCCATGAGATTCCACAGAGACATGTGCCCCTTGGCACCTAATGACCCCAAGATCACACAGACACATGGCCCTACTTGATCCCACCGTGATGTGCTCTGTTACTGTTGAGCCCAACAGATCCCATAAGGGAAAATTAATTCCCTGTAGATCCTAACGTGAAGCAGGCTCATAGTGTCTGAACCCCAGTCAATTCCATTCTGAAACATGAGCCATAGCACCTGACCAATAGGGAATCTCAGTGAAACATACCTCTGAGGTCCTCAGGCCTAGAAGATCCTGTGATGAAACCAATTGCGGAAAATTCACTAGAAGATCTACCAGCAGATCCTTGGTAGATCCAGTAATTCAAACACTCCACAGCAGCTGATCCACAGCAGATCTTGTAGTGAGCCACTCCTGGATTCTGAGAGGGGCATGGGGTCAGGTGCTCTAGGTCCGCCTTTAGGGCAGGGGCAAGTTGAATATGCAGCATCTCTTGGTCCCCACTGGGTGGAGCTCCTGCTCTCAGAACAAGGCAGCTTTGAGATGGGGCAGCTGTGCGGGGGCGGGGGTGGGGTGGGGTGGGGTGGATGAGGGTCATGTCTGTCCCTCTGTACTCACTTTAACCCTGTGCCTCCTTCCGGCAGAGACCCACCCCCTCCCATGTCCCCAGGGTACGCTCCACCAGGCCTTATTGCTTCCCCCAGAAAAACCGTCCCTGCATTTTCCACCGCTGCAGGCTTTGTGTACCCATGCTAAACTCCCTGCCTGTAGGGGGAGATGGGGTGGGGTTGGAGAGGGGGAGCTCTGTATGGGGGAAGGGGCTGCTGGCTGGCATTGGGTGTGGGGAGGATTGGGGGGTCTTTTTATGAAGGATTGGGGAGGAGGTGGTGACTGGAGGGGAGGGTCTCTGTATGGGGGAAGGGGTGCTGGCCAGGGTTGGGGGGCTCGTGGTATGGGGGGATTTGGGAGGGTGAGATTGGCTGGGTGGGAGGGGTTGGGATGTCTCTGTATGGGGAGGGAGGAAATGGAAGGCTTCTGTGTGGGGAGGATTATGGAAGGGGATGCTGGCTGGTATAGGGGGATTGGGGTCTCCACTCCCAACTTCTGCAGCCTGCTACATTTCAGTGTGTCCCCCCCTTCCCCCCAAATGCTGTCTGGTGGCATGCCAAGGAGGCAAGAAGAACCATCCCATAATAAGCAGCTCAATTGAGTGGCAGCCATGCATGGGTGCTTGGCTACAGTTGCTAGGGGAACCCCTCTGGCAGAAATCCCGGCCTGCAGTGCTGTGAGATTCCCTGCCCCCAGGTGGCGCCGGCAGGCACCCAGCTGCAGGGTTCGCTCCCGGAACCAGGGATAGAACCGAGGAATCCTGGCTCCTAGCCCCTTTGCTCTAATCCAGTAGCCCCCACTCCCCTTCCAGAACCAGGGAGAGAACCCAGAAGTCCTGGCTCCCAGCCCCCCTGCTCTAATCCACTAGCCCCCATTCCCCTCCCGGAGCCAGGGAGAGAACCCAGAAGTCCTGGCTCCTAGCCCCTTTGCTCTAATCCAGTAGCCCCCATTCCCCTCCCAGAGCCAGGGAGAGAACCCAGAAGTCCTGGCTCCTAGCCCCCACCCCTCCTAGTTCTAACCCACTGGACCCCATGGCTCTTCAGAGCAGTGTGAGACAGGGGAATGTGGAGGAGTCAGGCTGGTGTCCTGTGTCTGCCCCCTGACTCCTCAGTTCCCCCACTCTCCATCCCAGGCTTGGGCCCCCCAGAGCCCCACGTGCACTAACATGCTCCCTCCCCCCTTTCCTCTCAGCATTTAAAAAAAGAAATTTGTCTCCCTGAGAAGTTGGCTTAAAAGGTTTCCATGGAAACCCCAAGGAGAGATGAAGGGAGGTGACGCAGCCTCGCTGCTGTGGGGATGAAACAGCCCCGGCACCCATCCTGTGCCCCGCAGCCCGGCACCCCCTGCTGAGACTCCCCAGCCCCTCACCCCATGCTGAGCTCCCCTGGCGTGCCACAACCAGGTGCCCCTTGCTGAGTCACCCTGCACCCCGCAGCACAGCGCCCCCTATTGCACTCTCACACGCTGAAGCCCAACTCCCCCTGCTGAGCCCCCCATTGACGCCCCACAGCACAACACCCCCTGCTGAGCCCCCGTGCACCCCACAGCACAGGGCCCCCTACTGCACTCTCACTCTCTGCACCCTGGCACCCCACAACCCAGCACCCCCTGCTGAGCCCCTACTGCACTTTTACTCTCTGCAGCCCAGTGCCCCCTGCTGAGCACCCCGCAGCCTTGTGCCCCCTGCTGAGACCCCCCAGCACCCCGCAGCACAGTGCCACCTACTGAGCCCCCCAGCAGCCTGGTGTCCCCTACTGAGCCCCCTTTCACCCCACAGCACAGGGCCCCTGCAGCACACTCACTCTCTGCACCCTGGTGCCCCCTGCTGAGCCCCCCCAGTGCCCCACAGCCTGGCACACCCTGCTGAGCCCCACAGCACCCTGCAGCACAGTGCCACCTACTGAACCCCAGACAGCCCGGTGCCCCCTGCTGAGCCCTCCAGCGCCACGCAGCACAGTGCCCCCTGCTGCAGTCTCTCAGTGCTGCACTGGGATCAGCACTGCCTGCCAGGGGAGAGCTCCCCCTGCTGAAACCCCTGTGCTGTGCAGCACAGAGCCCCCTACTGAGTCCTCTGCCCCCCCAGAGTACAAAGCACTGACAGCTAGGGGAGAGCACCCCCACCTGGTTCTCTGCAGCATTGATGGGATCTCTCCCATCCAGCTCGTAACCCCGCTGAGCATGGGACCCTCTAGAGCTCTAGGGCTGAGGCATCCGTGGATGGCTTGGCCCAGCTCTTTCCTCTGGGGTCGCTCATCTCTGCCAATCTCCCCTCCATTCTCAAGGCTGTTTTTCTCCTGACTCCACTCCCTGAGTCAGCATGTCCCTGCAGGCCTGTCCTACTGTCCTTCCTCCCCCCAGCATCCCCAGGCCCTGCTGCAGACGCCTGGGGCTCCTGCACACACGGGGGAGGAGCATTGCTTGGAGCAGCCATGGAGCTGCGGATTGGTGGGCGTGAGGTAGGGGAGAAGTCGGGGTGAAGGCACAGGGTCAGGGATTTGAGTTCAGATGGAGGTGATAGGGTTAGGGGTGAGTCATGGGCTATGGTAGGCATTACAGGTGAGGGGCGAGGAGTTAGGGTTAAGGTTCAGGTGGGTAGGGATAGGAGTTATGGGGTAAGAGGGTAAGGTTTAAAAGCAGGGGGTTAATTTAGGGGTGAGGGTTATGGACTACAGTAAGGGATTGGGGTGTATGAGTTATCTATATGGGTCTAGGCATTAGGGTTACAGATATGGCTAAGCTTGGGGGAAGGGTAAAGTTTAGGGCCCACTAGAGGTTTGGATCATGCTGTAACATCTGTTGAGTGGTTGCTAGTTAACTCAAGCTGACGAATATGATAGTGAATCCTGCTGCAGGCGCTGAACATGTGTGACCTCCGCCTCGCAGGGTCTGTGACTGGGGGCAAATGTTCCTCTCCTGGAAGATCTTTGTGGAGTGTTTGCTCTAAGGCCATGTCCGTGCGGGTGAGGATGGATGGCTGTTACCTCGGCTAACTTAGGAGCAGACATTTGCAGCCTAGTTCCTGGAGTGTGTACACCAACCAGTCCTAAGAGTGTGTTTGCACAACAAAAAAGGTGTATTCTTAACTCCAATCAGCTACACTGGGGTAAAATAGCAGTGAAGACATGGCACCTTGGCTTTTAACAGGGGTTCTCAGTGTGTATTCAGCCATGGCTCTCTGGCAGCTTTAACTCAAGCTGCTACACTGCCTTAAAACTTGAACTGCCACATCCACTGTTGTTCTAACCTGGGTTAGCTAATTTAAGAACACAGCTTTTTGCAGTGTCCCTGTCCCTGGTTACCTCTGCTTGCTAACACAGATTGAAACTGCACTTATCCTGTTTGCACTAGGATTGTCACCTCTATGGAGAAAACCCCTTGTCCCTAGTTTGATATGTGTTTAAAGGCAGAGGCTTTTCCAAGGTGTTGATTGTT